TGGTTTTGTGGCCCAGAAGGCTAGCACCACTGTGATGGTTTTGGCCAAGACAGAAGAAATGGCAGCAGAGAAGCAATGCTGATGGCCATTTGTCGAAGAAGGCAAGTGACTCTCCTTGGCTGGCCAATGAACAAGAAGCAGGTGAAAAAGGAAATCAGGAGACAAACAAGGAGGATATAAGAGATGTCCCGATTGTTGGCTTTGACTATGGGAGTGTCTTGGAATTTTATGAAGATTCCCAAGATAAAGCATGTGGTCAAAGAGAGGAACAAGCCAATGGAAGTCAAGAAGATCCCCAAATTTTCTTGATATGATAGGAAAGTCTTAATCTTGGGGATACTACGATCTCGGTTATTGTTTGAATGTTGATCTTCTGCACATTTGCTGCATTTTTCTGCATCTGAAAAAGAGCAAGTGTAATATTTACCTTAAATCCTATACATTTGTAAATGCTAAAATCCTCTCTTCAATTTTTTTCTTTAGTGGCAACAGTTGAGGAAGTTCAATTAGGCTTCCTGACATGAGCCAAGCAAAGGCCTCCGGGCCTGAATGGTCCTTTCCAAGTCTAATTCTAATGAAAGGGCATTATTTCTATGACAAAACCAGTTCTATTTTTCCTATGTTTTTTAGGACAATTTTTTTAAGGTTCTGCAGATTCATTGCTGTACATTCAATTTTACATATACATGGGGTATATGATATTTCCAGATAGGAAAATTTCCCTTTTCCTCTAGTGCCACCCACCTTCCATGGTGGAGATGGTTCCTTCTGCACAAGGAAGACAATCATAGCAGCAGATGAGCTTCCCTTCCTGTTCCACCTTCATGAATCCAGGATGGCAGCTTTCCACACACCTTGAAGGAGGCAGGGTCTGAGCAGAGGGATGGAGTCCATACAGAAGATTATTTCTAGTTCATTTTCCACAAAGGAGAAGGAAGTTCATGATCCCCAGTTCAAAGTTTAGCTTTGCTAAATTTGAAGCCTATATAAAGAGCTCACTAATCTGCTTGAATCTTAACAGAGTAAAAAAATTGGAAGGGACCTTGGAGGTCTTCTAGTCCAACCCTCTGCTCACAAAGATCCAATATTTGAAGGATTGCCCCGAAGAAGAGGAGGCCAACCTATTTTCCAAAGCACCAGAAGGCAAGGCAAGAAACAATGGATGGAAACTAATCGAGGAGAGATCCAACTAGAACTTAAGAGAAATTTCCTAACAATGAGAAAATTAACTAGTGGAATTATTTGCTTCCAGGAGTTGTGGGTGCCCCATTACTGGAGGCTTTTAAGGAGAAACTGGACAACCATTTGTCGGGGGGGGGGGACCTTCTTCTTTGTGGCAGCTCCTCAAATATTGGATCATGTCATCCCTAAGTCCTTCTTTTCACTAGACTAGACATACCCAATTCCTTCAACCATTCATCATATATTTTAGCCTCCAGGCTCCTAATCATCTTTGTTGCTCTTCTCTGCACTCTTTTTATAATGGAGGGGGGATGACTAAAACTAAATGCAAGATCCAGTGACAGGATTAACCTATTAGTTAGTTTGGTAGGAAGAGCAAACTCAGTGCAATCACTTTCACCAGAGCCACACAAATAAACCCATCAAACTACACAAGCTTCAAAGGGGAAATAAGTACAAAAATCATACTCACAATCAAAATTTGCTTGCTAGCCAGGAACACTTGAGATGTGTCACTACTTCTCTTTGCCCTCCCGAAATAAAGAATCCTGCTTTCTGGCAGCTTGCTTCCGTGTCTATTCCTTCTCAGCATCAGTGACTGCTTCCCAGCTGGGGAACAAACCAGGGCAATTTCTTCCAACAATTCTATTCCACTGTGTCTTCAATTTTAGTGTAACTCTTGTCCCACGGCGAATTGACCTATGGCAAGTTGGCCATGGCAAGTCATCTCGCGGCAAGTTGGCCATGGCAAATTGACTGGGGAGAGTTGCCGTAGACCTCTCCGGGACATAGTAGAAGACAGAGGTCCTGGCATGCTATAGTTCATGTGGTCACAAAGAATCGGACATGACTTAACAACTGAACAACAACGATGGGAGCATGTTAACATGACTTTTATGTTTGGGGATAATTGTAAATCCTGAGTGGTCGCTAAAAGCCACCCGGGAGAAAAGGAATTGTAGTAGTCTATATGAATAGTGATGCACATTTGAGTAACTCTAGCCAGATTCCTCCTGTGTCAGATAGTCCCAAATGTGCTTTTTTTCAAGAGGCAACTGGACTTTCTGGTTTTTCTTTTGAAGACCTTTCGCTTCTCATCCAAGAAGCTTCTTCAGCTCTGGCTGGATGGTGAAGAATGGAAGGATTTATATTCCTCGCAGAGAGCTGGTCATAAATCCTTCCATTCTCCATCATCCAGTCAGAGCTGAAGAAGCTTCTTGGATGAGAAGTGAAACATCTTCAAAGAAAAAAAACCAGAAAGTCCAGTTGGCTCTTGGAAAAAAGCACCTTTGGGGCACCATGACCTGGCTAACTCTGCAAAGTTACCTGTATCAGGACTGCAGTTAAAAGTTGAATGATTATTGTTATGTATGTGTAAAAGATGAATGTTATTTATGACTATAAGCATGCTAGTATAATTAATATGATTACAAATAAACTAATGTAACTAACTATTGCTATAATTACTATGTATATTATTATTATTACTACTAGCATATCTGTTGTTTGTCGATAAAATAGTGCCTGGACAACAAACTGTTTTCAAAATATTTATATAAAAATACAAAATATTTTTTTTATTTTTTTTTAAAGGACTGCCATTAATAAGTTAGTAAGTTAAGTGTATCTGGCTTGCACCAGTTGCCAAGCATTTGAATTTTGATCACATGATCATGGGGATGCTGCTAAAGTAGAATAAAATATGGATTAAAAATATAAGAATGAAGACGTGGCATAAAAAGGATAGCTAGAAGCTTGCTTAAAGGGACAGAGAAATGCCATCAGCCTCTAATCACAAGATGTCCCAGCCAACGTCCCTATGTCAAAAGTCCAAACCACAAGGTTCAATTAAAGTTCGCATAAAGNGATGTCCAGAAGCGTCGGGAAACGTGCGGCTTATAACCCGGTGCGCTTTATATGTGGAAAAAGTTTGAAAAATTAACGTTAATTGATACTGCGGCTTATAATCCGTTATAATGCGGCTTTTGGTCGTGAAAATACGGTAACTATATCTAACGTAATTCTTTTTTATTAACTTTTGTATGTAATCCAAAAGGATTTCTAATTTTCCTTTCATGGGTACCATTTAATATTCATATCCAATTATTACTTATCATAACACTTATCATAATATCTTCCTCTTGAACATGGAGAACTTGTGCCAATTAACAATAGTCCAATTCAATTAAAGGTAAGCTTTGGGAGTAAACGAAGGCCTCATCAGGCAGAGAGGAAAAATGGTTCTCAGTTGAGGCACAAAAGACTCAAATTATTCTATTCTGGACACGTGATGTCTGTTCAGAACTCCCAGAAGCCTGTGAAGGTGGAAGGAAAGAGAAGAAGGGAGGCGACTAGCACCAAACAGGATGGGCTCGGTTACAGTGGTGATGAAGCACCATTGGAAGAGCTGAAGCAGGGGTGAAATGCTACTGGTTCAGACCAGTTCACCCGAACCAGTAGTTAAAAAATGCTAACGGTTCGGACGAACCAGTATTTCTGACCATCAACTTCGACGCACGATTTATATTAGCTAGAAAAGAAGGATTTCCTGTTTTCTAGCTAATCTAAATCGCGTGGCATAGCGGATTCTACTCACCCCATCGCTGTTCTACTTACCTTTGCAGGCGCTCTCAGTAGCGGGCTCTATGCACCCTCCCGGACGTCATCACGTCCGTTTTTGACGCTCTGCGCATGCGCGGACAGTCCAGTGCATGCACGGAGGTGGCCCCTACACTCACATTTGCAAACTGGTAGCGAACGTAAGTTGATTTTACCCCTGACTTGAAGGATCAGGTTGAGCGAGAAGATCATGGAGGAAATCCTTCTGTGTGATTGTTAAAAGAGTCAACACCACCCTGATGGTGGTGAATTTGCCAACCAGTTTGCAAGAAAAATGTCTCCATTAAAAAAAGAGGCTTAATGTTGAGATATTTTATTATTCACATTGTCAATGATAACTGGGGCCAACATCACCTCTGTAATTGAATCCATCTCCTTCACTGCCGTTGTCTCTCTTCTTCTCTTTATTTCCACCTTTCCCAGAATTGCAGCTGGGAAATCAATCCATCAGACTAGAATAGGAATAGAATAGAGTTAGAATGGAAAAGAAGAGAATGAAATAGGGATAGAATAGAATTAGAATAGAATAGGATGAAATAGAAATAGAATGAAATAGGAATAGAATAGAAACAGAATAAGAATTGAATAGAATAGCATGAAATAGGAATGGAATAGAACAGAATAGATGGAATGGGATAGGAATAGAATAGAATGAAATAGGAATGGAATAGAAATAGAATTATTTATTGGCCAAGTGTGATTGGACATACAAGGAATTTGTCTTTGGTGCATATGCTCTCAGTGTACATAAAAAGACAAGATACATTCGTCAAGAATCATAAGGTACAACACCTAGTGATCGTCATAGGATACAAATAAGCAATCAAATCATATTAGGAAACAATCAATATAAATCGTAAGGATAAAGCAACAAAGTTACAGTCATATGACTTATAGACCAGGCTCATATTATCCTATTGATTGAAAGGCTCGGAGAGAGGGAAAACAGAAAGCCTCCGGACCCTGGGGAAGGCAAAAATGCCTCCGCCCTCCCCTGGTACAGGAGGCCGACTAGGCCACGCCCACAATGTCCACGCCCACCCAGCAACCGGGCAGAGAACCCCTTGCTGAAATTTTTGAAGTCACCCCTGAATCTAAGTGCTGTTGCTATTTCCTCATTTGCCCTTTTGGTTTGAAAGAACAGAACTAGAACAATTTTACACTAACGTTGGTCCAAATTTATTGGGGTTCCTTTTAGATGATCTCTGCGCGAGTGAAAACGACGCTGGGATCCCCCAGCAGGCAAGGCGAGAACCTGAGATGCTGCCCGAGGCATCCGAGGGAGGCACCCCGGATTCCCGTCCCATTTCAGATGAGCAAGGAGCCATCTCTGAAAGCCAGCAGAAGCCAGAACATGCTGGCTTGAGAAAACCTCCAAGGAAGAGGGTTCAAAACTCCATTTCTTTGGTGGAGGGTTACAAACATCTTAGCGTCGCCCCAACAGAAAAGAAAAATGCCGATGACGAACCAGCTGTCAAGATCATCATATGCAAAGAAACTTTCAGCCAGGGTTCTGATCACGCAGGGGAAAAAGTCCACAAATGCTCGGTGTGCGGAAAGTGTTTCAGTCTTCGTTCGCGCCTGATTGTCCACGAGAGGACCCACACGGGCGAGAAACCTTACACCTGCTCGGAGTGCGGACGAAGCTTCAGCGTCAGCTCCAGTCTCATCGCCCACCGGAGAACCCACACGGGCGAGAAGCCCTACAAGTGTTCCCATTGTGCCAAGAGTTTCAGCGTGAAGTCCGGGCTGATCGCTCACGAGCGGACCCACACGGGAGAGAAACCCTACAAATGTCTGTACTGCAGCAAAAGTTTCCGGCGCAATTCGGGTCTCGTGAGTCACCAGCGGATCCACACGGGGGACAAGCCGTACCAGTGCTCGGTGTGCGAGAAAAGCTTCAGCGACATCTCCAACCTCATTACCCACCACCGGATCCATACGGGAGAAAAACCTTACAAGTGCTTGGAGTGCGGGAAAAGCTTCAGCCAGAGCTCGTACCTCAACAGCCACCAGAGAATCCACACGGGGGAAAAGCCATACGAGTGCGCCGAGTGCGGGAAGACCTTCAGCGTTAGCTCTCGGCTCCGGAAGCACCAAAGGAGCCATACGGGAGAAAGACCTTTTGTCTGCTTGGACTGCGGGAAAACGTTCAGCGAGAGCTCTGATCTCCTGGCCCACGAGAGGGCGCACACGGGAGAGAAACCCTTCCGCTGCTCCTTTTGCGGGAAGAGTTTTCTCCGTAGCTCTGAGGTGGTGAGCCACGAGAGAATCCACACGGGCGAAAAACCGTACCAGTGCGGGGAGTGTGGGAAAAGCTTTAGTGTCAGCTCGCGCCTCAGCGCACACCGGAGGATCCACACGGGGGAAAAGCCATTCCAGTGCGTGGTGTGCGAGAGAAGCTTCAGTTACAAATCCCACCTCATTACTCACCAGCGAATCCATACCGGGGAGAAACCGTTCCAGTGCTCCGTCTGTGGGAAAAGTTTCCGGGGCAGTTCCAGTCTAGTGGCGCACGAACGGACTCACACGGGAGAGAAGCCGTACCGGTGTCTGGACTGTGGGAAAAGCTTTACTCAGAGCTCAAACCTCATTAGTCACCAGCGAATCCACACAGAAGGCAATTCCTGAGATCCTCCTCAAGTGGACCTCTGTGGATTCTTAGTGGGCTCTTCCTTTTCCCAGGGAGATGTCGGCGGCTTCCGTATTTCGGTGGCAGTTCCACCTCTTCTCTAGAAGGGGTGCATTTTCAGCAATTGTGCACTAACAAAGGGTTTCCTTTCTCAACACTGATGCTACAACGAACTGGCAGGTGTGTGTTTGTGTCCACCAATTTACCCAGACCAAAGTACGTGAGGTTTGGGGGAGATGCTGATGGTGTGATGCCCGGAGAAGTTGATCAGAGGGGTAGATAGATGGTCACACCCCTTCTGTTCAGAATCCCCTTCGCACCTGCACTGCAGGGCTGGGGGAATCTTTTCTTTTTTCCAGAAAGGGAGAATCTGCCACGTGTGGGGTAGAATGAAAATGTCTACGGTAAAGGAGGACTTCCGTTTTTGTTTTGAGATCCAAGATCCGATCGGTTGGCTTTTTAGTTCCTGGAGAACCTATTAGAACTAGAGGAGGAAATTCCGCTTGGAAGGGGAGGGAATTCTAGTTTACGGGAAGCAGAAGAGCACGCGATCTCGGGTTTGAAGTCAAGGGCTGCCGAAGTTTTCAAGTAGGGAAATAATTGAAAGGAGCGGGTGGGCGCAGGTTCATCATCTGAAGGCTTAACATTTGCAGAATTATTTGGGAAGAGGGGTTCTATCCCTCCCTTCCCCCCCTCAAAAAACAAAACAAAACAGGACTCCAATTTTTAGAAAGTTTGGAAAGATTGATTTGGCTGATTTAACAGGCCTGCCTGTAGCTCTGGCTCTCCAGAGAAAAGGAGGAACAGGGAGAAGTATGGGAAGTATTTGAGAAATGTCCCAAAGGTGCTTTTTGCAACAGGCAACTGGACTTTCTGGTTTTTCTTTGAAGAGGTTTCGCTTCTCATCCAAGAAGCTTCTTCAACTCTGACTGGATGGTGGGGAATGGGAGGATTTATAAGTAGCTGTCTGCAAGGAATATCAATATCTCAGGGGCTGCCACAAAGAAGAGGGAGTCAAACTATTGTTTAGTTATGTTTAGTTTAATGAAAAGAAGGACTAGGAGACATGATAGCAGTGTTCCAATATCTCAGGGGTTGCCCAAAGAAGAGGGAATTCAAAACTATTTTCCAAGGCACCTGAGGGTAAAACAAGAAGCAATGGGTGGAAACTAATCAAGGAGAGAAGCAACTTAGAACTGAGGAGAAAATTCCTGACAGTTAGAACAATTAATCAGTGGAACAGCTTGCCTCCAGAAGTTGTGAATGCCCCAACACTGCAAGTCTTTAAGAAGATGTTGCATCACCATTTGTCTGAAACGGTATAGGGTTTCCTGCCTAGACAGGGGGTTGGACTAGAAGACCTCCAAGGTTCCTTCCAACTCTGCTATTGTATTGTCCTTTGGGCCTCCCCTCCTTTCCGTTCAGCCCCTGAAGGGCCGGGGGCAAAGGGGGTTGGACTAGAAGACCTCCAAGGTTCCTTCCAACTCTGCTATTGTATTGTCCTTTGGGCCTCCCCTCCTTTCCGTTCAGCCCCTGAAGGGCCGGGGGCAAAGGGGGTTGGACTAGAAGACCGCCAAGGTCCTTTCCAAATCTGTTATTCTGTTCTGTTCTATTCTATTCAATCCTTCCATTCCCCACCATCCAGTCAGAGCTGAAGAAGCTTCTTGGATGAGAAGCGAAACGACTTCAAAGAAAAAAACAGAAAGTCCAAGTTGCCTGTTGGGGGGGAAAAAGCACCTTTGGTACAACCAGGACCTGGGATGGCTGAGAATCGATGTAGATCAGTGTTTCTCAACCTTGGCCACTTGAAGATGTCTGGACTTCAATTCCCAGAATTCCCCAGCCAGC